TAAAGCTTATCGAAATGAATGACCAATAAATGTAACGTGCTGTAGAGTTCAGGCTTCGAAACGCTGTTTTATCATGTGACCTATATACAGGCAGCACACTGGTTTCCAGTGAGTACAGAGTATTTACAGTGAATAAAGGTGACAAACATGCTACTGCTCAAAGAGCTCTGAGCATAGTATGGTCCAGTCCAACGTCAGCTCACCACTTGCCGTCTCGTGGAATCAGAAACCTGCACACAGGGACAAACAGGTGAAAATCCAGATAATGACAAGTTTGAGAGGAGCTCGACTGACTGTGGTTAGAACAACAATCCAGCAAAGACTGATTCTGTGCAGCTTCCTGATAAGACTGCCCAACCAGCTCATCATCACAGGTGCGTGATTACCATCAGGTGTTTGCATCAGAAGGGAAAAACTCCTCCGGTCCCGACCGTATGTGTGAACCACTGCATTCACACAAAGCACCAACTGGTCTGGACCAGCTTTAACTGGGAGACATTACAAACATGGGTTTTGATGTTAGTATGCAGTTTTAAATGAACAGTTACAGAATCAGTCATGAAAGCAGGGCCCTGCTAAAGCTGGGAGGTAGTGTTTTAAAACTCTGTCCGAAGAAGAATGAGACGAGAGCCACACCTCTTTGCCAACCCGGTAGCGTGGGAGCAGCATCTGGCAGCGATCAGCCAACTGTTTATTTTGTTACTTGGGTCGGAGCGGGGCGGCACTCGTGGCTTTCCAAAGATGGCGGAAACGCCGAAGGTGATGCTAGACGAATGGGACCAACTGTGGATGGTGGGAGAGGAGGCTGGTAGCTGAGTGAGGTTTCGAAGGCCAGAGGCCAGTGGCTGCTGAGGTTAGCAAGTTGTGGGCGTGTTCGACCCACGCCAACTGGGAGCTCCAGGGTTCCAGGTTTGGGGCAGGGATGATGGTCGTAGCAGGTGGGGAGTGCAGCCTCTTTCAGTGACCTACTCACGCAGTGAACACTACTACCAGTTCATGTGCCGCCCTGGGATCCCATCCCCACCAGTTCACTTCTTGATGTCGATGTTAAGCAGGTTCCACTTAACCCATTAAACCAGTGGCAGCACCTGTCAGATTTACTGGTAGAAGTGTGAGCGATAACGGATGGGTTGTTCAGTTTGCATTTCATATTTTCTTGTGGCAGCAGTAATCCCTCCGCTCTGCAGCTTTTCTACAATGTCATATTCTTTTTGAATGTCATCATGTGGTCAGAGATTTAAAGAAGTATTAAACACTTTTCTATAAACAATAAAGAGTTATCTTATCTTAAAACAGTTCATCAGAGATATTTATTTAAACGTTTTGCACTATGATTATCTGTCCATCTGTCCCTACTTTATAGCTGCTTTGGCCGAAGTTGTAAAAGAGATTCCTGTCCATGCTTTAACAGTGAGGGAGAACCTGTTAGTAATGCCTTGCTGCACCCACATTTCTCCTTGCACCCTGCTATTAGTGTTTTTCAACCCTCTATTGTGAGAGCACAGTGTCACGTTGCCATGCTGATCTTCTAACAGAACCTTCTCTAACTCAGATAACACTGCTGGCATCCTGACTGGCCGAGCCACCTATAGCCGCCTTCACAAGAGCGTCTACCTGGTTCCCGTGGTGATCACAGACGATGACTACCCCATGCAGAGCAGCACTGGCACACTTACTGTGAGGGTTTGCACCTGTGACCATGAAGGCAACATGGAGCTGTGTAAACCCGAAGCTCTGAGCAGCTCACCTGGCCTCAGCACAGGAGCCCTCATCGCCATCCTCCTCTGTGCCATCATCCTCCTCTGTAAGTATGACTGGATATGCAAACAGATGTATATCCTGTATTTATATATCATAGTTGTACCATATCATACCATCTTAGTCCTTCCCCAAAGTGGAGGGCTGAGGAATCTTCAGTGACTTTGTTTACAGGAACACTCGGTGATTTCATCCAATCAGAACACTGAGATTGAGAGCAGGGGCAAACAAAAACACTTACAGTTTTGGCGCAGACACAATTCTTTTCCCCGGAGACACCGTTCACTGTCCTTAAAAGAAAACTCATAATGATCAGAAGTTGTTGCTGTAAAGTTAATATAGTTCAAAGACAGACCACAAGGGGGCACTGTCTGTGTCTAGATTAAGATGTGAGCTAGTGTAGAAGAAGAAGCAGATACACAGGTATGAGAGCTAGAAAGTGGTG